TTGGCAGAAATTTATGACTAAATTTGATTTTTACATTTTTTTTTACTGGACATGTTTTATAGCAAAAAGTCCAAAATATTGTTTTTTTTCCCTCAAAATTGTCAGCCTTTTTTTTTATAGCGCAAAAAATAAAAACCGCACAGGCAATCAAATACCACCAAAAGAAAGCTCAATTTGTGGGGAAAAAAAGGATGTAAATTTAATTTATGTACCGCATTGCATGACCGCGCAATTGTCCGTTAAACTAGTGCAGCGCTGTATAGCAAAAAAATGGCGTAAATTGCAGTATCTCTCCCATAGTTTGTAGACGCTATAACTTCACACAAAGCAATCAATATACATTTATTGGGATTTTTTTACCAAAAACATGGAGCAGAATACATTTTGGCCTAAATTTATAACCAACTTTGAGTTTACTATATATTTTTTATAGCTGAAAGTAAAAAATATTGTTTTTCTTCAAAATGTTTTGGCCTTTTTTTGGTTATAGCGTGAAAAATAAAAAGCGCACAGGTGATCAAATACCACCAAAAGAAAGCTCTATTTGTGTGAAAAAAAAGGATGTAAATTTTGTTTGGGTGCAGCATTGCATGACCGCGCAATTATCAGTTGAATTAGTGCAGCGCCGAGTAGAAAAAAGAGGCGTGGTCATTAAGGGGGGTAAATCCTCAGGAGGGCGAGGGGTTAAGATTTACGGTAACTAGCGATCTGAATCAGATTCATTTTCTTGACCTCATATTATATAAAAGCGATGGTGAAATTTTGACTAAAACTTTTTTCAAGGAAGTTGATAAAAATAGCTATATTCCTGCAATTAGTGGACACCATCCTAGATGGCTTCACAATACACCTAGGAGCCAATTGTAGTGAAAACAGACTATATCAATCAAACAGATATTTATTATTGACAGATTTGTGGAGAAGGGATATGAGAGGCCTTTTCTTCTTAAAGAAAGAAATTTCATTAATGAAAAAAATAGAGAGTCCCTTTTGAATAATAAGTTATCTAAGGAATTTGAGAACAATATCAGCTTTTTTACCAATTTTAATATGCAATATCGTAAGGTTGAAAGAAGTTTTTAAAAAATATTGGCCTATTTTGTTACAAGATGATACCTTAAAGAAAATTATTCCTAAAAAAACAATATTTGTCTATAGGAAAAATAGGTCATTAAGGACAAGAAGAGCCCAGAATGTTATAGATCCCCCTAAAAGAGTAGAGTTATTTCCAGATTTAAAAGGTTTCTTTTATTGCAACAAATGTATATGTTGCAGAACAGTACGCAGAGTCAAAGAAAAATCTTTAATTCGTTTTGTTCTAATAAAGAATATAAAATCAATTCCCTGATTCCTTGCAATTGAACCCATGTAGTTTATATCCCAGAATTTCCCGTGCCACCTTCCATACGTGGGGCGGACAGGGAGATGTCTTAAAACTAGAATAGCTGAACATATTGCCAATATAAAAAAGGGTTTCGAAAAACACAGCGTTTTGAAGCATTTTAAGATGAAACATAATTGTGATCCGAGTTTATTAACCTTTTATGGTATTGATTTGGCTAAATCCCATTGGAGGGGCACGGATTTAATTAATAATATTTCCAAGAAAGAAACTTATATTGGATTTATGAATTGAATGCTCTTAAACCCAATGGAATGAACGTTGATATTGATCTTAATTGTTTTCTCACTAATTTTTGACGTTTGTTTTTATTTTGATTTTTTTATGCCATTTTTGATATTTTATATTACGTTCCCCTAGTCCCCTTTTTTTTCTCTTTTCATAAGATATTTTTTCATGAGTTGTTCCCTTTATTTTAGTATTTTATTTTATTTATTGTATTAGAGTTCCCCTTAATTATTATCTATCCTTGTTGATTAGTATTACAAACCTTTTCATTTTTGATCAGAATTCTCTTTTAGTATCTATTTGACAATGCCACGTTAAATGTTTTTTTTTTTTTTAATGTTTCTTTATCATGTTTATGTTTTGTATAGATATTTTTATATACATTCTTACGTTAGATATATTAGGTTTTTGTTTAGATAGGTGTGCAGAGATATCAAAGTGCATTACAAGATACATGTGTTTATGTTGAATGAAGATTTTCCTTTAATGACACGTATCTATCTTTTGTTACTGTCTCCCAAGATGTTTATGTTCCCAATGATCTTTTATCTGCTTATATTGAAGTCATGTTTGTTATTTACCACATTGTTACATTTTTACCATCTATTGTATCCATTTGTTTACATGACAGCTTGTTGTTTTGGGATAGGATTGCTTGCTCAGTCCCTCTCATTAGTCACCAGCTGTCAGTCTGGTGCAGTGAATATTTAATGAACAGCTGACGTCTCACATCCATCCGCTCCGTGAGGACGTCGATGACGAAATGCGTAGGGCGGTGCCTTTGGATGTGACGTTCAGAACACTCCTGGTCTGTTTGCACGTTGCATGTGCATGTTTAGCTGGGTCTGAGTAGCTTGTATTCATCACACACGCTGTTTATACTGGTGTCAGTCTGGACACCTTGCTTGGAAGTGCATTTCTTCATTAAAGTTTGATGCCTTTTAAAACATACTGCACCATGATTGGTCACTTTTTTCTTTCGAATGACGGTCTGATCATCTCTCAGTTTGGATACTAAATCACCTTTGAAGTGGATTTTCAGCTTTGCAGCACATCATCTGTTGGAGTTCATCCCACATTTCATCAGGGCTGCTGTCAACATAATATTCATTTCTCCCAGAGTAACAAGTACTATATGCTGGTTTTTTCAACAATCAGCATATTACTCTGGGGAGTTCTATTTAACCATTTTTGGTGGTGGATTCATGTGGTGAATTATTATTTTGGACATTATTTTTATTATTTGAACTTTTTTGTTTTTGCTGGATTTTATTTTGATTTAAATATATTGTTTCTTATTGTTTTGTTAAATTTTTTGTATGTATTTAAGCGCAACCTATATTTTTTGGAAGTTCATGAATCCATGCTGTCTGTGGCTTACAATATTTGTTTCCAGCAAGAACTCCTCTCTGTGGTCTTTTATTAAACTCTCCAGTATCTTCCCAACTATAGAAGTGACACTAACAGCTCTATAATTACTTGGGAAAGATTTTGTCCCCTTTATAAATATTGGCCCCACATTGGCCTTACACCAATCCAGTGGTACTATGCCAGTCATTTAAAGAGTCCCTAACAATGAGAAACAATGGCTGGAGATGACAGAGCTGAATTCTTTAAGGCCCCGTGGGTGTCTGCCATCCGGTCCAGGGGCTTTATTCACCTTTATTCTGTACTAAATATTTCTGGATCATATCAATTGTGAGCCAATGTGGATCATCTGGGGGGTGTCAGTACCACCCCCCATTATGGACAAGAGCCCCCCCATGCTCCTTTGTATACACAGAGCTGAAGAAGGGATTTCATACATTGTCCTTCTCTTTGTCCCCCCCCCCTCTAGATGGTTCTGTAAAGGGCCTACATGCTGGGACCGGACCTTTCTACTATTCATATATTGGAGGAATGTTTTGGGGTCGTCCTGATATCTTTCTGTTGTTTGTTTTCAGTTTTTGCCTTTATTTCCTTTTTGCATATTCTGTTCTATTCTTTGTAATGTGTAAACGATGATCGCGTTCCTTCATTGTTATATTTAATAAAAGCTCTTTTCTTATTATCTATCGCTTTTGTAACTTTGGCCGTAAGCCACATAGGTTGGATTTGTAGCCTTTTATACTTGTTGCCCATGGGAATATATTTTGCAGTGTGGTCACATACAGTCTTTTTGAAGAACTCCCATTTCTGTGTTGTGTTCATCGATGCCAATATTCCCTCCCAGTCTAAGTCTTGGAGAGCAGCTCTCAGCCTTGGAAAATTAGCTCTCTTAAAGTTGAGCATTTTTATTTTTCCCGTATGTGCTGCTGTTTACAGCTAACAATAAATGAAATCATGTTATGGTCACTGCTACCCAGATGTTCTTTTATATGGACATTCGTAATAAGCTCTGCATGGTTGGAGATGACCAGGTCCAGCAGAGCATCATTCCTAGTTGGGGGCTTCTATGAACTGGACCATAAAATTGTCCTGTAGTAGGTTTAAAAACTTTTGCCCTTTAACTGTTCCTGCAGTACCATTACTCCAGTCACTTTCCGGGTAGTTACCATCCCCCATTATTATCACTGTCCCAGCCCTTGCAGCCCTTTCCATCTGTGGGAGGAGCTGAGTCTCCATTAATAACACTGGGAGGCCTATAACAAACTCCAATGATGACCTTTGTAGTACCGCCCCCCATGTGCAGTTCCACCCATAATACTTCAGCCTCATCACACTCTCCATCAACTAGGTCCTCTTTCACACTCGCTCTGAGATCACTTCTCACATAGAGACAGACACCACCCCCTTTCCTATTTCCCCCGTCTCTCCGAAAGAGAACCTAGCCAGGAATATGAATGGCCCAGTCATGTGAGGAATGAAGCCAAGATTCAGCAATACCAATTCAATCCTAGTTCTCTTCATGCACCAAACCTTCCAACTCACCTATTGTGCTGGGCACACTTCTGGCATTGGGGAACAAACACTTTCATTCACCGACACCTTGTTCATTCACTGACACCTTGTTCACATGGATTTTGTGTATTTTTTTTATTTTCATACAAATGGTACCAATTCCACTGGTTGTTTGTAACATGGGAAACTTCTTACCATCTGCCATAGCCCTCCCCCCATCTTTCCCCATTCCACCCCCCAATAAGTACTGACCCGTCTGATTTGTCTACCCCGTTATAATCAAATTCTCCCTCCCCCTCCATCCTAGTTTATATACTCCTCCAGTCTTCCCATAAACCCCTCCCCCAGCACAGCAGACCCCCTTCCATTTAGGTGCAAACCATCTCTAGTATATAGGCTGCACCCCAATGAAAAGTCAGCCCAGTGCTCTAGGTCAGGACTCCATTTTTATTCTTCTCCTGCTATCAATGGCCAACCCGGTCCCACACTTCATCCATGTCTTTGGGGACCTCTGATCTCCTTATGAACTGTTTCTTCCATGATGAAGATCAGCCATGGAGTATATCTGAGGTGTATATCAGGGTGTGCTTCTTCCCCACATGAGAGCTGGGATGTCCAGCAACATTCATCTAGAAGACATTTCCCGCACTCAAGGCACTAATACACCTCCTCGAGTTGTGTGGGACCCCTGATGTACAGGAGGACAGGACTTCAGTGAGGAACATTTCCATCACTCAGGACAGGAATACGGCTACTCCCCTGTGTGAGATCTCTGATGTCTGTGAAGATGGGACTTATCTGAAAAACATTTCCCGCACTCAGAACAGGAATATGGCTTCTCCCCTGTGTGAGATCTCTGATGAATGGAAAGATGGGACCTCACTGAAAAACATTTTCCACACTCAGGACAGGAATACGGCTTCTCCCCCGTGTGAGATCGTTGATGTATGTAAAGAATGGACTTCACTGAAAAACATTTCCCACACTCATGACAGGAAAATGGCTTCTCCCCTGTGTGAGATCTCTGATGTGTGGAAAGATGGGCCTTCTGTGAAAAACATTTCCCGCACCCAGGACAGGAATGTGGCTTCTCACCTGTGTGAGATCGCTGATGTGTGGAAAGATTGGACTTCTGTGAAAAACATCTCCCGCACTCATGACAGGAATACGGCTTCTCCCCCGCGTGGGATCTCTGATGTGTGTAAAGATCGGACTTCTGTGAAAACATTTCCCGCACTCAGGACAAGAATACAGCTTCTCCCCTGTGTGTGATCTCTGATGTTTGTGCAGAATGAACTTCTGTGAAAAACATTTCCCACACTCAGGACAGAAATATGGCTTTTCGCCCGTGTGAGATCTCTGATGTTTGTAAAGACTGGACTTCTGTGAAAAACATTTCCCACACTCAGGACAGGAATACGGCTTCTCCCCCGTATGAGATCTCTGATGTTTGTGAAGATCGGACTTAACTGAAAAACATTTCCCACACTCAGGACAGGAATATGGGCTTCTCCCCTGTGTGAGATCTCTGATGTGTGTAAAGATGGTACTTTTGTGAAAAACATTTCCCGCACTCAGGACAGGAATACGGTTTCTCCCCCGTGTGAGATCTTTTATGCCTATTAAGACGGGATTTATAACGGAAGCTCTTCCCGCACTCAGTACAGGAGAAGCTCTTCCCTGTTGGAAGGCCGGCCTGGTCCCGCACAGTCTGAGGTTCTCAGGATACGAGGAATCCGATGGTCCATCTACACTGGGTGGTGCCGGATGGACATTGGAGGGAGCCGGGTTTTCTCCTGGACTATACTGTGTGATGTCCTCATCTTCTACTTTCCAGTCTGGAGACAAAGTGAGACAATCCTCGGAGGTTTTCCTCATCTCCCGGCCATGGACTAAAATACAAAGACAAAGAGGATTACTAGACAGGAGCTGATTGGTTCCCCCAAACCAGGACTCCGCCCACATCAGGCAGCTTGGTCTCTGAGGAGCTTACAATTCCACCCTCAAGGGAACTAGGAAATGGCTCCTCTGATCTCCTACCAGGTCATTTCTTTATTCATGGACCTTAGTCAGAGAGTGAGGAAACAACCAGAACTGTCTTTTATAGGAGGGACAGTGATGAGGGGATTATAGGACGAGGGTCCCCACCCCCTCTATCACTCATCGCCATCTTCCCAACACAAGAAGTACTGCACTTCCTTATTTAGTCCATGATTTAGTCATGAAGAACAGCGGGGCTGAGCCCCACCAGAGGTCAGAGAGTGAGGATGGGGGGAGAACAACCAAGATGAAGACTGGACTGATCCTGAAGACCACCATCATTGGGGTATTGACTCCTCCCTCATTATCACTTTCTGTTTAAGGGTCCAAAGTTGGAGGATGTTATCACATTATTATCATCCATGTAAAAGTCTGTGCTCCAATCACATCATCCGATATAAAATGTCCAGCTGGGAGGAAATGGGTGTAACAAAAGAGAATCCATATTATGTGTATATATAGCAGTGGGGGGGGAGAGCAGGGTCAGGAGTATGGAATGTACAACATAGAGTATATAGTGCAGGGGTCAGGAGGATGTAACATACAACATAAATTATATATAGTGCAGGGGTCAGGAGTATGTAATGTACAACATAGAGTATATAGTGCAGTGCAGAGGTCAGAAAGTATGTAATGTACAACATAGAGTATATAGTGCAGGGGTCAGGAGTATGTGTAATGTACAACATAGAGTATATAGTGCAGGGGTCAGGAATATGTAATGTACAACACAGAGTATATAGTGCAGGGGTCAGGAGTATGTAATGTACAACATAGAGCATATAGTGCAGGGGTCAGGAGTATGTAATGTACAACATAGAGTATATAGTGCAGGGGTGTCAGGAGTATGTAATGTACAACATAGAGTATATAGTGCAGGGGCCAGGAGTATGTAATGTACAACAGAGTATATAGTGCAGGGGTCAGGAGTATGTAATGTACAACATAGAGTATATAGTGCAGGGGTCAGGAGTATGTAATGTACAACATAGAGTATATAGTGCAGGGGTCAGGAGTATGTAATGTACAAGTTATATAGTATAAGGGTCAGGACTCACAGTATTAGTATTCTGTAATCAGTGGAAGCTTAAATGTTTACTGTAGACAACATGTAGAAGTGATCTGGGATTAAACCATCATGAAACAGGTTAGATTGGAGGTGAGCAAATCCTTGGATGGAGGGGTCTCAGTGGATGTGGTATACTTGGGCAGAGGGGTGGCGGTGGACGTGGTATACTTGGGCAGAGGGGGTGGCGGTGGACATGTATACTTGGCAGAGGGCAGGGGGTGGCGGTGGACGTGGTATACTTGGGCAGAGGGGTGGCGGTGGACGTGGTATACTTGGACAGAGGGGGGGCGGTGGACGTGGTATACTTGGGCAGAGGGGTGGCGGTGGATGTGGTATACTTGGCAGGCAGAGGGGGTGGTGGGGGACGTGGTATACTTGGACAGAGGGGTGGCGGTAGACGTGGTATACATGGACAGAGGGGTGGCGATGGATGTGGTAAACTTGGACAGAGGGGTGGTGGTGGTGGACGTGGTATACTTGGACAGAGGGGTGGCTGTGGACGTGGTATACTTGGACAGAGGGGTGGCGGTGGGACGTGGTATACTTGGACAGAGGGATGGCGGTGGATGTGGTATACTTGGACAGAGGGGTGGCGGTGGACGTGGTATACTTGGACGAGGGGTGGCTGTGGACGTGGTATACTTGGACAGAGGGGTGGGCTGTGGACGTGGTATACTTGGACAGAGGGGTGGTGGTGGACGTGGTATACTTGGACAGTGGGGTGGCGGTGGACGTGGTATACTTGGACAGAGGGGTAGCGGTGGACGTGGTATACTTGGACAGAGAGGTGGCGGTGGACGTGGTATACTTGGACAGTGGAGTGGCGGTGGACGTGGTATACTTGGACACAGTTCCCCCCACACACGGCTAATGTGTAAGGTAAAGTCTACAGGCTGGAAAATCCAAATGTAAATGGATAGAAAACTGGCTAAAAGATCGTATTCAGAGAGTAATGGTTAATGATTCATACTCTGAATGGTCTGGTGTAGTCAGTGGGGTACCCCAAGGTTCAGTGTCATCAGTGGCAGGGTACCCCAAGGTTGTGTGATTAGTGGGGTACCCCAAGGTTCAGTGTCATTAGTGGGGTACCCCAAGGTTCAGTGTCATCAGTGGTATACCCAAAGTTCATGTGATAGTGGTGTACCCCAAGGTTCAGTGTGTATATTAGTGGTGTACCCCAAGGTTCAGTGTGATTAGTGGTGTACTCCAAGGTTCCGTGTGATTAGCCGGGACCCACCCCGGCCCGGATGGCCAATGGCCAGATGGTGGCTGGGCGAGCACCTCGTTCCTCTGGGTGGAAGCCATATGGCATCCTTCCAGACATGCGCAGTTTGCATGCCCGCAGAGCAGCGCTGTAAGCCATGTACCGGGGTTACAGTGAAGTCACGAACGAGGAAAGCAACCCCAACACCAGCTTTTGCCACAACAGAATTTTACTTAGATGTGGCAAATAAACACAACCACAAATGCTGGGAACATACAATAAATTTACATACACCCAGCCCAGAGGCTGAGACCCTTGTGCTGCACAGCATGGCGCCTCCTGATGGATGAAGGTAGAAGGTGTAGTAATTTACCTACTGGGGGCACAACTAAGCTGCCACACCTTACCTGTTATTACCCTACAGAGCAGGAATCAGTGTATGGGGGTACGGTATGGGGCTAGCCTGCGGTGCAGCACGACAGCTTACAATCTTACACAACTCTACAGTATTCCCCCTCCCATAACTGGTCCTGTAGCACGTGCCTGAGTATTCCTTCTGAGCAAAACACCAGTCTGGCTTGAGTTTGTAGGATTTTTTATCAGCTCTGCAATGTGAAATGTCACTTTAAGTGGGGTGGAGTCCTTCCAATGATCAGTAATAACACTTGTGGCCTGACACAAACAGAGACCCTAACTAACTAACTATAGACCTGGACTCAGTCCTATAGGCGCCAACACTGAAATGAGATGCGTGCACGATCTTACCGACCTGGGTCTGCTTTGTATCCGCTGGTGACTCTGAACAGAACAAACGTCTCTTCAACAGACATGCAATGTCATCAGCAGTACATGTTGCTTTGCTCCTCTGTCCTCATCAGCTTCCTGGCAGCAAATATTCCTTTTTCTTTGAACAGGGTTAGCGTCTTCAACACCATCAGCTTCACTCAAGTGAATTTCTGATTACAGAGGGCCATCATCACAGCTGGATGGCAACGGATTCTCAAAGTCACTCAGCCATCTTCTCTCTCTCAAGCATGGCTGCTCTCCTCTCCTTCCCCTGCTCACTCTCCAAGTCCAATACCCCACCCCTTCATGAACATAGAAGTCTCTATGCAGTCTGAGGCTGCTAGAATAAACAGTGACATCTTGTGGCTCAAACTGCAGAATGTCAGTCAGAACATTTTTAATTCACCTCAATCAGTGTTCAAACAATGAAAGCAGTTTCCCCATCTCACAGCGCAGCGGCACGATCTGTCACTGGCCGTGTACCTCGGACACGGCCGGTGACAGATCTGTGTAAGTACCATGTAAGTACCATCCGTTGTAAGTACCATGTGACCTGCTGTGACCAATCACTGCAGGTCACATGATAGTTGTATACAATGGATGGCTTCATTTTCTTCCCAAAAAAAGACCAAACATTTTGAAAATAAAACACGTTTTTCTTTGTTTCTGGTTTAAAAGTTTGCAAATAAATAATTGTTCTTCATAAATTTAGGCCGAGATGTAATCTGGGGCTACATGTCTTTGGTGAAAAAAAACCCAAATTAATATTTATGATTTAGTCTGAAGGGAAGTTATAGAGTTCACAAACTATGGAAGATATCTGAAAATTGATCAATCCTGAAGTACTGACAGCCAGTCTATTTTTTGAGGTCCAAGGTCCAAAATGACAGAACAGTACAGATATCCCCCAAAAAGGACGGTGTCCCCCAGGACGTGGTACAGATATCCCCCAAATGTCAGGACGGTACAGATATCCCCCAAATGTCAGGACGGTACAGATATCCCCCAAATGTCGGTGAACAGTACAGATATCCCCCAAATGTCAGGACGGTACAGATATCCCCCAAATGTCAGGACGGTACAGAATCCCCCAAATGTCAGAACAGTACAGATATCCCCCAAATGTCAGGACGGTACAGATATCCCCCAAATGTCAGGACGGTACAGATATCCCCCAAATTTCAGTTTGGGTACAGTGTTGTATGACCCGCAATTGTCATTCAAAGTGTGAGTAGCGCTGAAACCTAAAAATTGGCCAGGGTAGGAATGGGGTAAAAGTGCCCCAATGGAAGGGGTTAGTGGGGTACCCCAAGGTGCAGTGTTATTAGTGGGGTACCCCAAGGTTCAGTGTTATTAGTGGGGTACCCCAAGGTTCAGTGTTATTATTGAGGTACCCCAAGGTTCAGTGTGATTAGCGGGGTACCTAAAGGTTCAGTTAGTGGGGTACCCCAGGGTTCAGTGTTATTATCGGAGTACCTCAGGGTTCAGTGTTATTAGTGGGGTACCCCAAGGTTCACTGTTATTAGTGGGGTACCCCAAGGTTCAGTGTTATTAGTGGGGTACCCCAAGTTCACTGTTATTAGTGGGGTACCCCAAGGTTCAGTGTTATTAGGGGTACCCCAAGTTCACTGTTATTAGTGGGGTACCCCAAGGTTCAGTGTGAATAGCTGGTAGTGGTTGCCCGGCCTATGGCCAGATGGTCAGTCAGAGCGAGCACCTCCTCCCTCCGGGTGGAAGCCATATGGCATCCTTCCAGACATGCGCAGTTTGCATGACCGCAGAGCCACGCAGCGGCAGGATCTGTCAACGGCCGTGTACCTCGGACACAACCAATGACAGATCTGTGTACCGGCCCCGTTGTAAGTACCATGTGACCTGCTGTGACCAATCACTGCAGGTCACATGATAGTTGTATACATTGGATGGATTCATTTTCTTCCCAAAAGAAGAACAAACATTTTGAAAATAAAACAAGTTTTTCTTTGTTTCTGTTATAAAATTTTGCAAATAAATAATTGTTCTTCATAAATTTAGGCCGAGATGTATTCTGCTACATGTCTTTGGTGAAAATAACCCAAATTATTATTCATGATTTAGTCTGAAGGGAAGTTATAGAGTTCACAAACTATGGGAGATATCTGAAAATTGATCAATCCTGAAGTACTGACAGCCAATCTAATTTCTTGAGGTCCAAGAATGTCAGAATAGTACAGATATCCCCCAAATGTCAGGATGGTACAGATATCCCCCAAATGTCAGGATGGTACAGGGATATCCCCCCCCAATGTCAGGACGGTACAGATATCCCCCCCCAAATGTCAGAACGGTACAGATATCCCCCAAATGTCAGGACGGTACAGAAAATGTCAGGACGGTACAGATATCCCCCCCAAATGTCAGGACGGTACAGATATCCCCCAAATGTCAGGACGGTACAGATATCCCCCAAATGTCAGAACGGTACAGATATCCCCCAAATGTCAGAACAGTACAGATATCCCCCAAATGTCAGAACAGTACAGATATCCCCCAAAATTTTGTATGTATGTTGTATGATCGCGCAATTGTCATTCAGTGTGAGAGCGCTGAAACCTAAAAATTGGCCTGGACAGGAAGGGGGTAAAAGTGCCTGGTGTGGAATGGGTTAGTGGGGTACCCCAAGGTTCAATGTCATTAGTGGGGTACCCCAAGGCCCAGTGTCATTAGTGAGGTACCCCAAGGTTCAGTGTTATTAGTGGGGTACCCCAAGGTTCAGTGTTATTAGTGGGGTTCCCCAAGGTTCAGTGTTATTAGTGGGGTACCCCAAGGTTCAGTGTTATTAGTGGGGTACCCCAAGGTTAAGTGTTATTAGTGGGGTACCCCAAGGTTCAGTGTTATTAGTGGGGTACCCCAAGGTTCAGTGTGTTAGTGGGGTACCCCAGGGTTCAGTGTTATTAGTGGGGTACCCCAAGGTTCAGTGTTATTAGTGGGGTACCCCAGGGTTCAGTGTTATTAGTGGGGTACCCCAGGTTCAGTGTTATTAGTGGGGTACCCCAAGGTTCAGTGTTGGGCCCCTTACTTATAATAATATATATATAAACAATATAAGGGGGTGTGAGATTATAAACCCCATTCCAGTCTTTGCAGATGACACCAAGCTGTGCCGGGGAATAACGTCCTTACAGGATGTCTCCAACTTACAAGCCGACCTCAATGCTCTGTGTAATTGGGGGACTATGGGGCCAATGAGGGCTAATGGTGATAAATGTAAGGTTCTGCACTTGGGGGGCTAAGAATATGCTGCATCATACATACTAGGGGGGGGGTACAACTGGGGGGTCAATGGTGGAGAAGGATCTCCAGGGTTGGGGGTCAAGGCAGATCATATGCAATGCAAGCTATGGGGGTAAAATCTCGATGAGCAAAATCCTCTCTTGTATAAGGAGAGTTATAGACTCCAGAGAGAGAGAGATATCGCCCCCCCCCCCCCCCCCCCCCAGTACAAATCATTTGTAACACCTCATCTGGAATATGCAGTTCAGTTTTGGGCTCCAATTCACAAAAAAGAACATTGGGGAACTGGAGAAAGTACAGAGAAGGGAAACTAAACTGATACGAGGCATGGGGAGATCAGCTATGAGGAAAGATTAGAGGAATTAGGGAATGTATGATCTCTACTGAGAAGAGGAGATTAAGGGGGGATATGATCTCCATGTATAATACATAAGGGGGGGGGGATATGATCTCCATGTATAATACATAAGGGGGGGGGATATGATCTCCATGTATAATACATAAGGGGGGGATATGATGATCTCCCATGTATAATACATAAGGGGGGATATGATCTCCATGTATAATACATAAGGGGGGGGGGGATATGATCTCCATGTATAATACATAAGGGGGGATATGATCTCCATGTATAATACATAAGGGGGGGATATGATCTCCATGTATAATACATAAGGGGGATATGATCTCCATGTATAATACATAAGGGGGATATGATCTCCATGTATAATACATAAGGGGGGATATGATCTCCATGTATAATACATAAGGGGGGGGATATGATCTCCATGTATAATACATAAGGGGGATATGATCTCCATGTATAATACATAAGGGGGGATATGATCTCCATGTATAATACATAGGGGGGATATGATCTCCATGTATAATACATAAGGGGGGATATGATCTCCATGTATAATACATAAGGGGGGATATGATCTCCATGTATAATACATAAGGGGGGATATGATCTCCATGTATAATACATAGGGGGGGGATATGATCTCCATGTATAATACATAAGGGGGGATATGATCTCCATGTATAATAATACATAAGGGGGGATATGATCTCCATGTATAATACATAAAGGGGGGATATGATCTCCATGTATAATACATAAGGGGGGATATGATCTCCATGTATAATACATAAGGGGGGGGATATGATCTCCATGTATAATACATAAGGGGGGATATGATCTCCATGTATAATACATAAGGGGGGATATGATCTCCATGTATAATACATAAGGGGGGGATATGATCTCCATGTATAATACATAAGGGGGGATATGATCTCCATGTATAATACATAAGGGGGGGGATATGATCTCCATGTATAATACATAAGGGGGGATATGATCTCCATGTATAATACATAAGGGGGGGATATGATCTCCATGTATAATACATAAGGGGGGGATATGATCTCCATGTATATAATACATAAGGGGGATATGATCTCCATGTATAATACATAAGGGGGGATATGATCTCCATGTATAATACATAAGGGGGATATGATCTCCATGTATAATACATAAGGGGGGATATGATCTCCATGTATAATACATAAGGGGGGGATATGATCTCCATGTATAATACATAAGGGGGGGATATGATCTCCATGTATAATACATAAGGGGGGATATGATCTCCATGTATAATACATAAGGGGGGATATGATCTCCATGTATAATACATAAGGGGGGGGATATGATCTCCATGTATAATACATAAGGGGGGATATGATCTCCATGTATAATACATAAGGGGGGGATATGATCTCCATGTATAATACATAAGGGGGGATATGATCTCCATGTATAATACATAAGGGGGGATATGATCTCCATGTATAATACATAAGGGGGATATGATCTCCATGTATAATACATAAGGGGGGGATATGATCTCCATGTATAATACATAAAGGGGGGATATGATCTCCATGTATAATACATAAGGGGGGATATGATCTCCATGTATAATACATAAGGGGGGATATGATCTCCATGTATAATACATAAGGGGGGGATATGATCTCCATGTATAATACATAAGGGGGGGATATGATCTCCATGTATAATACATAAGGGGGGATATGATCTCCATGTATAATACATAAGGGGGGATATGATCTCCATGTATAATACATAAGGGGGGATATGATCTCCATGTATAATACATAAGGGGGGATATGATCTCCATGTATAATACATAAGGGGGGGGATATGATCTCCATGTATAATACATAGGGGGGGATATGATCTCCATGTATAATACATAAGGGGGGGATATGATCTCCATGTATAATACATAAGGGGGGGATATGATCTCCATGTATAATACATAAGGGGGGATATGATCTCCATGTATAATACATAAGGGGGGGATATGATCTCCATGTATAATACATAAGGGGGGATATGATCTCCATGTATAATACATAAGGGGGGGATATGATCTCCATGTATAATACATAAGGGGGGATATGATCTCCATGTATAATACATAAGGGGATATGATCTCCATGTATAATACATAAGGGGGGATATGATCTCCATGTATAATACATAAGGGGGGATATGATCTCCATGTATAATACATAAGGGGGGGGATATGATCTCCATGTATAATACATAAGGGGGGGATATGATCTCCATGTATAATACATAAGGGGGGATATGATCTCCATGTATAATACATAAGGGGGATATGATCTCCATGTATAATACATAAGGGGGGGATATGATCTCCATGTATAATACATAAGGGGGGATATGATCTCCATGTATAATACATAAGGGGGGGATATGATCTCCATGTATAATACATAAGGGGGGGATATGATCTCCATGTATAATACATAAGGGGGATATGATCTCCATGTATAATACATAAGGGGGGATATGATCTCCATGTATAATACATAAGGGGGGATATGATCTCCATGTATAATACATAAGGGGGGGATATGATCTCCATGTATAATAACATAAGGGGGGGATATGATCTCCATGTAAATACATAAGGGGGGATATGATCTCCATGTATAATACATAAGGGGGGATATGATCTCCATGTATAATACATATAAGGGGGATATGATCTCCATGTATAATACATAAGGGGGGGGGATATGATCTCCATGTATAATACATAAGGGGGGATATGATCTCCATGTATAATACATAAGGGGGGATATGATCTCCATGTATAATACATAAGGGGGGGGGGATATGATCTCCATGTATAATACATAAGGGGGGATATGATCTCCATGTATAATACATAAGGGGGGGATATGATCTCCATGTATAATACATAAGGGGGGGATATGATCTCCATGTATAATACATAAGGGGGGATATGATCTCCATGTATAATACATAAGGGGGGGGATGATCTCCATGTATAATACATAAGGGGGGATATGATCTCCATGTATAATACATAAGGGGGGATATGATCTCCATGTATAATACATAAGGGGGGGATATGATCTCCATGTATAATACATAAGGGGGGATATGATCTCCATGTATAATACATAAGGGGGGGGATATGATCTCCATGTATAATATATACATAATCTCCATGGGGGGATATGATCTCCATGTATAATACATAAGGGGGGATATGATCTCCATGTATAATACATAAGGGGGGGATATGATCTCCATGTATAATACATAAGGGGGGATATGATCTCCATGTATAATACATAAGGGGGGGGATATGATCTCCATGTATAATACATAAGGGGGGATATGATCTCCATGTATAATACATAAGGGGGGATATGATCTCCATGTATAATACATAAGGGGGGATATGATCTCCATGTATAATACATAAGGGGGGATATGATCTCCATGTATAATACATAAGGGGGGATATGATCTCCATGTATAATACATAAGGGGGGATATGATCTCCATGTATAATACATAAGGGGGGGATATGATCTCCATGTA